GAAGCTGTAATCTAACTTGGGGAAATGAGTTCTCTTAAAACTTGACAAACAGTATATTTTAAACCCAAAAGGTTTTAAATTAAAGCCTTCCTTCCCACACACAAGCATTCACATGAAATTTTTAGTTTCTCCCCTGCCAAAATCACTCTTTCTCTAAAGAACAGCATATTAAAACAAATTACCTTAAGACAGATAAACACTCCTACAAGACTGTATTCTCTTATATCTTTTCCTTAAAAGAAACACAAACCAGTTTACTATCTTTTATAACCTCTGAGACTACTGTAGTTTAAAAACTTCAGAGTAAATGAAACACCTGTCTTAGCTACCATAAAGTCAAAGGTGCCATTTAGATTTCACATATTAAACAGCTATAGTATAGCCTACAATGGCACAAATACACCTGATACACAAATAATACTTCATCATTTAGACAGTCACAAGTCAGAAGGTAGTACATAGTTTGCAAGGTCCTTCAACTTACATGTGGTCATTAAAACCCAGTAAGTAATTCAGGAATGGTAATATAATAGCAGGCAATTAAAGGCTCAAATAGCATTCTAAAATCGAAGACAGGAAGATAAAGGTGAGAAACTTGGTGTTTTCTCCATCTTTCACTTATATGGCTAGATAGCAGGACCTTATTATAGAAAATATACATACAGCATATGGTTTCCCCAGAAGATAATGAAGCTTCTGAAAGCTTCAAGAGCCGTGTCAAGAGCCGTAGTTTGCTTCATCAAATGCTTTTCTAGCTCGTTTCAATTCTTCATTCATAGTAAGCAAGTCTTTAACCCTAGCAAACTTCCTTGGGTCCTTTCGAATCAAGAAAACAATATCTTCAACTTGCACTCGCCCTTGTCTTCCAATTGACATTGCTTTGTGAGTCTATTATAAAGAAACATATTAAATTCAATTAACTTTTTTAAAAAATCTAACATGTTACTTTTTTAATCTGCACTTATTTAATGCTGGTGAGTATTAGTATTTAGTATATATACTAAAAGAGAAGCTTTTCTCTTTTAGTATAGCTATTCATTTGTGAGTTTTCTATTTATGTCCTCTGTCCACTTTCCATTGTTATTAGCAATGTTTCTCTTAATGCTTTGTAGACATTTTTTAATATTAAAGACATGAAAACCATCAAATTTATTGATGTTTCTTTTGTTTTTGATGTATGCAGTTTTTGCCTACATTTGTATAAAATAATTTTTTAATTTCTTTGTAACCACCAACTTCATTTAAGCTTTGTATCTACCTCAATAGCCAATAAATATTTGTGGGTTTTCTTAAAATCAAATCTCATCCCCTATCATTATATATTTATCCTGTGCCAAATTAAAAAAAAAGGTTCATCATAGATTATTTCTAATGACTAAAAAAAGGGAAACTAAATATTAAGGCATTAAGTAAACAAATTTGAGCATATCCATTCAATTACTATTATGAAACCATAATAGTAATAGAGTATTACACAATGACATGGGGAAAATGTTCTAGACTTACATAAATGTAAAAGTAGATTATAAGACTATATATATGATTTCAACTTTATAGTTTAAAAATATATGAAAAGACAAAATATTCACCAAAATCTTAGCATTAGTTGTCTCTGCTGTATGTATACATATATGTATATATGTACATATATATCTGTGTGTATATATATATATAATCTTCCTTTTTAATGATAAATAGTAACCAATAACTTTCATAAAATAGGCACTCAAATGGATAGCTTATTTCAAAAGGATGCCATAGTTCTAGTCTTATCTAAAAGTTAGAATTTCAAATTTATTCCTCAATTAACTATGACCAATTAAAAAAAAAATCTTACCATTTCAGTGATGAACTCTATGACAAGGTCTTCGAGAATATCCACTGACTCAGTATAAGGATTCTGGTCATCCCCAAACCCATACATCATACATCGTACTGTAAAAGGAACAATCATTTTGTCTACTTAAATAAATTTAACATTTGATCAAGACTTTTTTCAAATTAGAATTAAACCAGGTTGTAGAAGATATTGGTATAAAAATATATTTATGTTGTATTTGTTTCCAAGTATGATTTTGGTGTAAAAAGTTTAACCACAATCTCATAACCAACTGTTCCTGATAGGTAAAAATTCCCCTTCTCTCCCAGCTACTGAACCCTGACACCTATATTCTTTTCCTAACCTCTATCATCCACTCACCAACAACCCCAGAATACCTTTAAATAGGCATGGACAGGATGAATGGCAATGGCTTAGCCTTTACTGGGAGTGTGTGTGTGTCAGCATTGGAAAACAGAAGACAAAATTCTTTCTCACAGTACCAAAGGGAAAAGGAGATGAGAGAAAGTGATCCAATTCCCTTCTAATGGGACCAGGGTAATCAAAAGGAAACAGCAAAGGGCTCACTATACAGAATATTGACATTTCATTCCCTAGATCAATGCAAATGCCAGCAAAGCCCTTTCAGGCTGCATCTGAAGGAACCATAAAAAGTACAAAAGAGAAGACAAGTCTAATACAGAGTAACACAAGTAACTGCTAAAAGCTAAAACTTACATAACCCTTACTATGTGCCAGGTACTGTTTTAAGCCCTTCACATATATAACTCATTTACTCCTCATAACAATCCTTTGAAGTTGATACTATTATTAACCCCATTCTACGTAGATGAAAAAATTGAGGCACCAAGTTAAGCGACTTACCCAAAGTCACACAGATAGTTAGAGATTGAACCTGAATTTGAACCCGGCTGATCTGGCTCCAGTCTATACTCCTACCCACAACAGTAGTAGTACATGTTTTAGAAGTTTAAGACAGGTAATATCCACATAGATTCTTGTCCTATAGCCTATAAATTCCAAGTTAGTTCATGGACATGCTTCAAGAAGTCCTTGAACCCTCCTGAAATTATATGCAAAATTTTTATACATTTGTGTGTGTCCATTTTTCTGGGAAGAAGACTCAACTCTTACCAGATCTCGAAGGGGTATATGAATGTTAAGAAACTCTGTCATACATTGGAAATGTTTTGTATCTTCATCTGAGTGGTGGTTACAAGTATATGCATATATGTAAAACACATCAAGCTGTTCACTTAAGACTAATACAATTTACTATAAGTTTTACAATTTAAAAAATAGAAGGAACTCTTTGAATACTTCTAAAGGCAAGAATGAGTACATTAAGAATAATTCCTATTTAGGAGAAGAAAAAGCTGGTAGAACTGAAAAGAGAAGAAAGTAGTTCAGGCCTAGGGAAGAAAAGAAAAGGGTGACTTGGAAGTTAGCCTGGGATAGAGGTATTCCTGGGGTTTATACAGGCAAAAGCCTTGAGGTCCAGATACAGGAGAAAACATACAAGAGCCAATATTCTCTTTCTCTCATTCTTTTGGATTCTGAAAAATTTTTGCTTTTTTCTCTGAGATAATTTCAGACGTACAGAGGACTTGCAAAAATAATGCAGAATTCCCAAATACCCTATGTCCAGCTTCCCCTTATGTTAACATTTTACATAACCATGGACATTCACCAAAACTAAGAAATGAACACTGCTACAAGTACAGAACTTATTCAGATCGTAAGTTTTCCCACTAATGTCCTTTTTCTGTTCCAGGATCCCACACTATTTAACTGTCATGCCTCCTTAGTTTCTTCTGATTAGTGACAGTTCATCAGACATTGTTCATCTTTCATGACCTTGACACTTCTGAATACTAGTCAGTTATCTTGTAGAATGTCCCTCAATTTGGATTTATCTGATGTTTTCTCATTAGATCATGGTTATGCATTACCAGAAAGGGTACCACAGAAGTGATGTGCCCTCATAATGCATTGTATCAGAGTATATGATGTCAACATATGTCACTAGTGATGTTAACTTTGATGACTAAAGTAATGTCTGCCAGGATCCTCCACTGTAGGCTTATTATTTTTCCTTCAACATTTTGAGGAAGAGACAATATCATTAACATTTTGATGGGTAGAATTCACCAGGAGGGAAATACATTTCACTGGAAAAGGAAAACATATTAAATAGGAAGTATGTAAACTGTATTTGATTAAAGAGTCTGTGAAGACATAAACAAATACCAATGAATTCTTTGAAACTTACTGTGTTAGCAAAAAAAGTGTTTTTTAAGTTTTAAGAGAACAGGTCTTGGTCAGCAACATATATTAAGATTCAAGTAACAAACAGAGACTCATGGACATGGACAATAGACTAGTAGTTATAAGAGGGTGGGGTGGAGAGGGGAGAGGGTAAGTAGAAGGGGCAAAAGGGGTCAAATATATGGTGACAGAAAGAAATCTGTGAGCGGTGAACACACAATGCAATGCAATATATATATATGCCTTACTGTTGAATTGTATACTTGAAACTTACTGGATTTCGTTAACCAATGTCACCATAATGAAAATTTATATGTATATTACACACACACGCACACGCACACACACACACACACACACACACACACACAAAAGATTCAAGTAAGATAAGGAGAAGGCTGTGACGATTCCAAATTTTTGTCAGCACAAAAATAAAGCAATCCAAGTAGAACAAAGGTTTCTGCTAAAGGTTTCCAACAATGCAAGCATCACTCCGGGGTGCTCTTGTGTAGAAACCCCCTTTGTATGCTGACATAAGATGTAAAACCATGTA